ATGAAACCCAGAGCGTTAATATATTACACACAGTAAATATACAAAGAGGAGGAGTTTGAATGCACTTTTGTTTCCAATGGTTGAACATCACTGTTTACATTTAAATAGAACAACGGAAGGAAGAAAACTGACAAAAAGTAAGCTTTGCATAAGAACATTGTTTTTGACACTTGTGGGGACACGTAGAACTCACAGGTGGGTGGAAAAAGGGCAAAATAGTCGAATCAGAAATCATTTTTGAAACCTAATTTTTGGAGTTAAATGAATACTGCTTTTTTAAGCGTCAGCTGAATGGGAAATGATGTCGAAAGCCGTTTGTTTACAAAAGTTAAAAGTGAATGTGCTCCACAGAATCTGTATGCGTGGGCGCCACCTTCAGGTTAGGTCTTTATCAATGGTCTCAGCTTTTTGTTAATGGACGTCTAATTGTTCTAATTAGCGTTTTATTTGAGAAAAAAATGAAGATTAAGCACTGTTGGAGTTGGTGAATGTCAGTGGACAATTTAATGAATAGACATTAACGCATAATTGGTCTGAACTAGTCCTGGCTGTTAATATAGGCTTTATAATCACAGGCTGCACCTCCTGCACTGATTTGTCATGTATTTCACTGAAAATATCAGAATATCAAATGTTATCATGTTTTTAGGATAGGTTTGGAACGCATAAAAATTCAGGAATTTAAATATAATTTTTTTATTATTGAATTTCTTGCACATTTATTAGGAAGTACTCTTATTAAAAAAAAACTGGAACAACAAAAAGTCTTATATATCAAATGGTTATAAAGAAATAATTGTGTTTACATATCTAGTCGCCATGATGGCACGACAAACCATTTAAGCATGAAACTGTTACATAACATATATTTTTCTCATTATTTTTAATTTACTTTTTGGCAAATACTTAGTTTGGACTTGATGTTAAAGTCAAGGTTACATCTCATAATACACCTACTAGAAACAGTGAGTTTTGTGACATGTTGTTCCAGTTTATGATACTGATTAATCGAGGATATTTTTTCATCAGTGAAGATTAAACTTTTTTTTTGCATTCCAGTCACATGTTGACCATTAATTCCATTCCATTTAAATTACTAACATTTGAATGGTTTAATGTTCTGCTCATGGCTAATTGACACTGACTAAATATACAAAAAAAAAGTCAGGGTCATTTGAGGACAGCTGGTCGATTATGATCCAATGATTCCAACTCATATCAATTCAACATCGTCGTGTCCTGTGAACTGATCACTGTTTGGTCGTTTCTTCAATCAGTGACACGTAATTAGTGCTAAGTAACTACATCTGAAGTAGTGACCATTGAGTGGACACTCTGTCCTTTTAGAAAGGCCTCGGCCACATATGGAATATGGACGTAGAGAATCTTAAATCAAAAGAATTACAACGCTGACAGTTGAGGGTTTTTTTTTTCTCCCATTCAGCTGCTCATAAAAAAGCAATTATCACGGCTATTACATCACAGCTCTAAGACACATTGAATTAATGAATCAGGTGGGATTGTGTAAGCTGTCTAGTTGTAGGTGTCACCCACTCTGCTGTTTGTTTGTTTGTTTTTTCAGTTTACTTTATTCACACATAAAATTTTGCACAGAGAAAAAAAAAAACACCAGTAGAAAAAATAAAGTCAAAAGCTTCTCATTTGGAAAAAAAAACCTAGACAAACAAATTCAAACTACTGTTTCCATTCACACACTCTGTAGTAACTATTCACCATTACGAAGAGTTTGAATAGTTAGTGCACAGGCTAACTGTTAAAGAGCCTCCCTCCTTGTGTACTTTCTTGTTGTTGTTTTTTTGTGTTGTCCAGCATATTTCGACCATTGCGACATATATTAATATACATTTGTACAAGTGAGTATCGGCCTACACCTTTGTTCATACTCTGTTTGTGTCCTTCATAGAGACCTGAGAGGAAGGCCAGGAGCAGGGCTGAGGTAGGTTCACTACAGGGATTAAAGTACAAACAACGACCTGAAGGAGGAGCGACGCAGGATAAGGAGCACACACGTAGAACAGTATCAGTTAGACTCTGTTCATGTGCCGCGTTAGAACACATCGTCATGGGGGTGAGACTGAGGGTGTGCTAATGAACACACCATCATCTCACACCCTGAGAGGGGTGACTCAAGCACACACACACACACACACACACACACACACGGAGGGGCTGTTAAACATGCTGACAGTTCGTTGACCAAAATATTTCCATTTCATAATTACTTCAGCATTAATGGTTTCTGAAAAAGAGAGTCATGTCTTAATATTTTTTCAAAAAATGTGAAGAGATCATTTGTTTTAGTATTTCAGTTTCAAGTTTCAAGTAAAATAAACTACATCAAGAATAGGTTTGAATGTATTTCAACAGGATTCAATTGTTTAAATCAAAAATCTACAGTATATTTAACATTTTATTCCTGTCGTTTTACCTTTTTTTTAGGTAGACGTCACCTACGTCTACATCAGAAGGCGATGGCTCCACCTACTAAGCGGCGAATGCCTTTTCTATTTGCCCCTCCTCAGTCCCTCCTCCTTCAGACAGACACTGATGTTATATATGGCTTCTCAGGAATCCATGCCATGGAAATCCATTGTATTGGCAGAGAAATTTGAACCCTGTAAGTATCAGAGCGAGTCTTGTCCAGAGAGTCTGAGAGAGAAGCCCTGTGATCAATTAGCATCCTCTCCCTCCCTCTCTCTCTCTCTCTCACTCTCTCTCTCTTAGCCACTGCTCTCTGATCATTGGCATCAAGCGTAAGTGTAAACTGTGTCTCCGAAACGCTTTACAGCTGATCGGCACTGACAGGAGGGAGAAGGCCGAGCAGCGGTTCTGGAACATGAAAAACTAAGCAAAAACAGCAACTACTGTGTGTCTTCTGAAACATCAGTGTAAACGAGTTACCTTTAAAAAAACAAAAAAACAAAAACAAAACAACAACTTATAAGTTAATGAAAAATGAAAAAAAAATTAGAGATACACAGCTGTCCCTTTCTGGAAAATAAAATCACTTTTTTTTTTCTTTTTCGTTTTTTTTGTTTTTTGTTGTGGTTTGTTGTTTTTGTGCAACATAGGAAACTCATTAGGGAACTGAACTATTTAAATTATTTGTTTTGTTTTGTTTTTGTCATTTTCTGTTCCTTGTATCCTCTCTGTTGACAGGCAAACTGGAGCTAAAGTCAGACGTTCACATACTGTCACAGATGCGGAGAAACAACCGTTCATACAACATTTGACCCCATTTGATCCCCAGTCTGAATGTACGTGGACCGTCGAGGGAGTTGAACAGGTGAGCTCATGCACCGGGGTGAGAAAATGTAAACAGCAAACAAAGAGGCATTTATTCGAACCACTGGACTTTTTTGTTTAAAATGTTTTTTTTTTTGTTTTTTTTCGGGGGGGGGGGGGGGATAACACTGACTTCAAAAGAAAATTTGAGTTAATTAAAGCTAAATTAGGTTTGTGGGTTGAGTGACCAATCAGAGCTGAGTTGTAGGTTGCTGTGTCACTAGACAACTGAACACTTTTCAGTGTCAGTGTTTGTTTAAATATTATCATAATTTACAAAATTAGCTGCATACACCATTAGCAACAGCGTTAAACCAGTGACTCAGAGCAGAAATTAATTCTTTAGTAAAAGTTATATCAACGCCACAGACTGAGTATCTTTGGGAATGTCTTCTAGTCTGTGTCGGGGGGTTTGAGAGTCAACTTTGGTTTAGACCAAACAGCTTTGTTCATTTCCATGTTTCTCATAATTATATGTTATATGATATATATGATATGTTCAGTGACAATACTTTAAATGTTGCACAATTCCAAAATGAATATTATTGTTGTCCTTTGGAAATCAATTTTTCTTCTGCTTGGTTTTACTTCTTTTTTGCTTGTCATGTTTTCTGCAGCCCTGCTTCACAGGAAACTGTCCTCATTGGTTTGACGATAAATAGAGACGAGATATGGATGAAGTACAGTTGGTATTCAGTGCCATTACAAGGTAAATCACACATCATCCTCTCGGCTAAAAAGGGGAAAATGTATGTATTAGGGTGATATTACGATATTATGGTTCCCAGGACTTGACCATTTAAAAATGATCCAGGAATTTTGCACGACTTAATTCCAAGATCAAGGAGACGAAAGTGATTCTATACAAATGCTAACAAAAATCAATCATTACATTTGGAGGTAACGTTTGACAACATTTGTGCTTCTTAGTTGTGTTTTTAACTTCCTAAAATGAACGATTGAGCGCACACTCAGACACGCTCGCTGCTCGTGCCCACAGCTAATTTCAAAGAGTCGATCACATTAGTTTGCATTATTTCCCAATTGCCCAATCAGCTCAGCTCATTCAGCGCTCAACGGCTGTGAAGTTATCATCAGAATGGCAGTGTATCTCTAATGGTCTGTTCTATGACGCGTGGAACACAAAAAAAAAGGGAAAAAAAGGATCTTTTCAACGAAACAACATAAAATGTGAAGCCAAAAATAACACACAATGGAAAAGTACAACCCAAATGTACTGACAACATAGTGTAGTTCATACAACGGTGTTGTCCATCTGTCAAACTGCATGAGGTACTGACGTTTCATCCCAGATGCCATTGTGTGGGCATCAACAGATGGAGGCCGTGGTTTCACAGAACAGGTAAATACGTTTTTTTTCATTATGCAATAAACAGACAAACAACAACAACAGCGACAACATTAACATTGTTATCTTGAGGTAGAACATTTACTTCAGCATTTGGAAGTGCTTTATGTTGGATATGCATTTCTTGTTGGTTTTTTGCAGACGAAGAAGTGAGAGGATTCTTTTTTTCTTTTCTTTTTTTTAGACATCTGAGGTAGCGCGACAACTGACCTTGTGTCCTTCTTCCTGCACCTATCAGTTCCTCTGCATGTTAAAAGTAACAACGTTGAGCAGTGTGGGAAGGTAAAGTCCCTAAAGCTTCCCGCAACACATTCATTCTGACTGAGGTAGGTTTTTGTTGAGTCGTAAGTTTCACACAGCCAAGTCTTTAGTCTGTAAGAGGGCCGAGAACTCATAGAAAATGTTTGATATCAGTGAAAAAAAGTCCTGAGAGAGAATATTTATCAAATCCCTGGGAGAAGGCTGAGGTCTTCGCGAAGAACGAGTGGGTGGAATCATTGGTACGATGAGAGCAGGCAGCAGGAGTTTGTGACATCCACAGAAAAGTAGAAATAAGAGCAATAACTTATGACCACTTTTGACACAGATGATAAAGATATATGTATATATATATATGGATTTATATATTCACTGTATATACCTATAAACCTAAAAAACAAAAACCAATAATGTATTACAAAGACATTCTGGGCCCTCTATTCTGTGCTGCCCAACATCTGGAATGTAACACATGAGCAGGGCTGTCACTTTCAGTCCAAAGTTAGGGAAAGTTCTGTAAATCACTGGTTGTTTTAATGTTTCATGCATGTTTGTAAAGATACACCTGAAACTGGAATTTTAGCAACATTTACCACTAGAGGGCAGTGCAGAGTCCAGACCAAATGGCTATGGTGAGCCAAGAGGTTGAGCTAACGTGAGGGGACAGCTGATAGGCTGAGATAACGGTGAAGTTCATAGCTTTATTTTTAACCGTAAGCTAACATTGCTAATGTTAGCTCGCAAGAACCAACACAACCAGAATAAACCAATTTCATCAACTCCTTCCCAAAACCAACCCAGACCTACTGTAGTTTCCCAAACACCAGCATGGGTCTTAAAGAATTGACTTCCTCCTGACAATATTAACTTCTCCCCCTATATCTTAGCATTAAAAAACAAGGAGAAGCTTCAAGGAGTGACACAACTGACTCACCACCCATTACGCGTATGTAAAGTGCCATCTAACTTAAATATTCAGCTCCACTGCCCCCTAGTGTTTTTTGTAGCTTTTCTTCTGTTTGGTCCAGCTTAAAGCTTAAAGTTAAAACCGACAAATGCTCGTTGTAGCATTTTCTGCTAAACCTAAACACTGAAGCATCTAAAGGAGCCGTGTGAAAATCTTTTGGTTACTTTTTAAGAAACTTTGACTAAAAAAGTGACAGCCCTAAAAAACAAAGAAAATGGAAAAACAAAAACAACAAATGGTCTGCCTAGCTTTTAGCGACATTTTACAAGAAAGCATCTCAAAACTTGGCCAAAAAAAAATCTTTTTTTTTTTACAAAACACCTTTAAAATACATTCTTAGATTCTCTCGAACCTCTTAATTTATCAATAAAATATTTGCACAAAAGAAAAAAAACAGCTACTTTGAAAAGAAACAATTTTGAACCTGAGTGAGTGAAGAGTTAACACTTTAGACAGTGTTGCACCAGTTGACCTCATACATGACTAGCCTTGGTCTGCTGACCAGCTCCTCCTGCTGGAGGCTCCTGAAATTGCGTCTCCATGTCCCGCTCAACAACAAACTCATCTAGTGGTATCGTAGACAACTGGGTCTCATTGAGTGTGTACGCTTGGGTCTGAAAGAACAAGATGTGACGGTTAAATGATGGAGAAAGAATAGAAGCTCTGAGACTCTCAAGTAGCTTTGGAAAAAAAATAGGCTTTGTTTTTTAAATAAATAAACAGAGAACAGATATTTTGTCCAGAGGTTGTATGAAAATGTCTTTTCATTTCTTGCAGTTGGGACTCACCATGCTTGACTCTTGTATCGTCTGAGTGAAGAGTCTCTCCAGTTCGTTGCTGTCGACCACTTTCTTCCCACCGGCTCTACCATTGACCTCCATCTCTCTCCTGGCAGATCCGTTGAGGCCAGACACCCCCTGGGAGGAGGAGGAGGAGGAGGAAGCTTCCAGCACGGTGCTGCGTCCGGCCTGTGGGGTTGCCTGCACTGTCTTACACATCATTAACCTAGAGATTACACCCACACGTACATAAAACTCTTGTCAGCTTCACTTTTACAAACACATGATAACGGACAAATCCTGTTGGACTAGGTGATAACGATTCACCCAGGATCTCTGTACTGACCTGCCGCGGTAACTGAAGACCAGGAAGAGAACACAAAAGATGATGCAGGTGAGTCCGATGTGGATCCCGATGATGATGCCTGTCGTGGACGTTTTACTCTGATCGTCTTTGACACAGTCACACGAGGCGTCCAGGACTGAAAAGAGAAAGGACACAAGACGGTCAGACTGAAGTGTGTGTATTTTACTGACACGTATCTGTCTGTTGTTCACCTAAGTCTGTCATATCATAAAATTGAGTAAAAATGGACAAAGTCAGCTCTGATTACAATTGAACTGAATCAAAACCAGTAAGACAGACAAACAAAAGGGAGAAAAATGAACAGTCAAAAAAAAAAAAAAAAAAATGAAGATACGTCAGATGTCAAAAAAATACAAAAAGGAATTCATTCTTCATTAAAGCCTGTAAAAGTGTCTATGACTTTTCATTTTTAAATTCTAATTATTTAAATTCAAAGTGACAACTGACATTAACATTGATCAAATAAGGCATCAGGGCAGCGGTGGCTTAGTGGTTAAGGAAGCGGACTTGGGTCCAGAAGGTTTCAGGTTTGAGTCCACCAGCTGCTCACTTTAGTGATGGGTTAAACACAGAGGTCACATTTCACTGTGTGCTGTGTCACAATGACAAGTCACTTTCACATTAAATTCCTAAATGTGATTCATTCAAATGACACTGACATGATGGACTGTACTGTGTCTGTGCACAGGCAATCGACTGTACTTGGTGAATGGAAGATGACAGGTGTGAGGAAGAGACTGGTGAAGCCCTGAAGTATAAGAAGGGATAAAAATGACTTTTTTTATGAACAACAAAAAAAAATTTACCAGATTTTTCCACCGCCTCTCGAAGTGAAACAAATCGGACCGTGGTGTTTCCATCTCCTTGTTGGTTGAAAGCGAGGAGTTTAATCTCATAGACCTGTGTAGAATCTGACCATGAAGAAAGAGACAGACAATTAGGATCAATAATAAATCAGAAAACTGGGTCAGAATTTAAGGTTAAGGTTAAACTGTTAAATGTATAAAAAAAAACTCATTCCTTGGGAATTTTTTGGGAGTTTTTTTAAATATCTTTCCTATTATTAGAACAGTTAAAAAAGTGACTGTTGCCTTACAAAACAGTCCAAAATATTGATCAATAACATTTGATGTTACATTGTATTTGACATAACCACATGTCGAGGTCATCTCACCCAGCTGAGTGATGTTGTACTGGGTGACGTTGCGAGGGAAGTTGATGGGGCCGGTGAAGAGCGGCGTGTGAGCTCGTCTGTAATACAGTCTGAAGCCGTGGTGTTGACCCATCTTGGAAGAAGGCTCCCATGATGCCTGGACGAAGCTGCTGTTCACCACCTTGGTGTAGAGAGAGGGAGGTGCTGGAACTGCAACACGAGACAGACGAGTCAAACCCTTTACTAGAAGGTAGGACTTGAAGAAAAGACTTGAACAGAGATGAGTTTGGGTTCCTAAACCTGGCGTCCAAATATGTGGACATTGTTTGGCTCATCTACACCACAATACTAAATATTAGCAGGTGATTTCTCTCAGAAACTACCACATATAAAATACATATTAAAAGATATCTGCAATATGCGTAGACACACGTTTCATAGTGTGTAGTACTCCTTAAATGTATATTTCATGGGTCAGCGTTACGATTTCTACTGACCCTCCCCATGAGTGCTCTGGGTGACACTGTCTGATGGTTTGCTGGCCCCGTGGGAAGTGTAGGCCTTGACGTAGAAGGTATAACTGGTGGAGGGCTCCAGGTCCCTGATGATCTGCTGCAGTGTCACCTTACTAACGGCCTCCTCGTACTCCATCTCCACTGGGTCTGAATCAGAGGGGAGAAGAGGTGGGGGGCAGAAAGAGAAGGTGAGGGTTGAGAAAAGGAGAAACCATAAATATCATCTATTTGTGTCATCTTTTTATGGTTATTGCCCGTTTGGTGGGTGTTATCTGAAAGGCTTTGTAAAAAGGTTAACCTCGATTGGCCAAAATAGTGATGGATTGGCAAATTGCAGGGGTGGAGTAAGGAGAGGAAAATGGAAGCTGCAGACACTGGGTTAAAGCATTTTTATCGCTTTTAATCTAGAGACATTCAACCATAACCAGTATCCACCTCGGGCTCTCAGCCAATGGAGTCGCACAATCTTGGAAGGTAATTACACCAGATCCTATTGGTCGGCCCCTGGGGCCGTTAATTATCCATTCAATAGAGCTGCTGAGGAAAGAAGCAGCTGGTGCTGTAAGACTCTGCCACACATACACACACACACACACACACACACACACACACTCGACCCCAACACCTGTAAACTTGGTCGCAGCCCAAACATTACGTGTCTAGTCCAGGTGTGAGTGCAATTATTATAAAACTATTATTTAAATATGAAATTATTCCGCAGATCATTTTACTATTTCATCTTTAGTGAAGATTTTTTTGCACGTTCTTATAATAATTATGACTCTATAATATAATAGTTCATGTTTCAGTTTTTTTGTCAGTTCCTTAGTGTAGTGGTTAGCACACCTGCCTCTAAAGCAGAGAATCCTGGGTTCGATTCCCAGAGGAACCACATGCTTGGCGCCTACTAGTGGCAGACTGTCAACAGCATATCTGCTGCTAACACAACAATTTCCCAAATATGGGATCAATATAGTATAGTTTTTTGTCAGATTTTGTTCAAGCAACATTCTCATTCAACACTGTGTAAATCTGTAGAAGCGTTTGGCGACGCCTCACCTGAGGTTCTGCGGATGTGGACCACATATCCGATGATATCCTGAGTGTTCTGATCGGGCTCTGTCCAGGACACCTGTATGGTGGTGGGAGTCAGAGCCTCAGCCTGCACACCATTTGGCACACCGGGAAGCCCGTCGGCCCAGAGCACGGTGAGGCGGGCGCTGGCCTGGGTGGAGCCTGCACTGTTCTCAGCAATGCACTGGTAAATGGCCTCGTCGTCCTGGCTGATGCTGTAGATGGTCAGTGTGCTGTGACGCCAACGAACAACGGGTGAATAGAAAGAGGGGAAAAAAGAGAAAAAGTTAACTTTAAATTAGTTTCTTTTCTTTCACTTTTGACACATCAAACATTTCTTTTTTAAGACTTTAATTTAAAGTTAGTTTTTTTCTCTCTAACAGAAGTAGATACATGTAGAAAGTCAAATCTTTAGTCGTACATGTTGTACTTTCTCTCGCATTTGACACCTGCACCACATGGTTGAACAGGTGCAAATTGCATCTTTCTGAAGATCAGTGCAGCCTATATTTATATACAGCCCAATTACCACACACTGGCATTATCATAATGCACGACATAACACATAACGCAACGTCGCCTCAGTACATATCTTCAAGAGGCCGTAACAAATCACACTGGCTGATAATAATCTGTGTGACAGTGGAAACTGTTAGCACTGAAGCGTTGGCTTTATTAAAAGTCAGTGTTTTACAGGTTTTTGAAGAGATGCAATTTTTTTAGTTTTTATTAATTTTGTGACCTATTCATCTAATCCATGTGTCAAACTCAAGGGTCGGGGGCCAAATGTGGTCCGCCAAGCCATTTTGTATGGCCCGCGGGAGTTTTTATAATCAATCAAATAATAACCAATTGCAGAAACATATTTTAGTCTCTAATGGAGTAGTTACATCTATACCAGCGGTTCCCAACCTTTTTTTTTTTTACTACGGACTGGTAGCAAGGTACTGAGCATTAAAGGATGTTTTAGACTCTATTCTGTTTGTATCAGAGTCTGAATGACCTATTATTTTAAAATATTGTCACATTATCTTATAAATAAAGAAAGTAAATGGATATGACAAATGAAGTATATTACTAAAAATTAAGTACAGTTTTTTCACTGACCTATGGACCAGTACTGGTCCGCGGACCAGGGGTTGGGGATGTGATCTATACAGTCTTCCATTTATAACCGGCCCTTCAAAGGGAACTGTGTTGCTAATGTGGCCCCCTGGTGGAAATGAGTTTGACACCCCTGGTCTAATCAATCCATCCTACATCTGTTTTCCCACAACCACTTTTCAGGTCACTGGGGAACTGGTCATTTCTACTGTGCTCAAATGAAGAGAGAAATAATAACATTTAACAACAAAAAGTACCAACATCTTATAAACCGCCGCTCTACAGAAACAAATGCAAGAGTTGAGAAAAAAAATTCTCCTGAAGTGAAGTTACTTCAGTGAAGGAGTAGAGGTACTACTCCACACCACACGTAGTAGTGGATAAGAGCATACATGTTCTGTGTCTTAGTGGTTCAGGAAAAAGAGCCTGAGCTCGACCCCGGCAGCATGAATAGATGTTCTTCAGTGAAGCACACCAATTCATTTTCTCCTGGAAATCCCGTTGGAGAAGATAAAACCTTTTTACATAAAAAATGTAATTTGCCTCCATCAGTGAAATCTTTCATCTGTACAGACACACAGACGCACCTGCATGCATGCACACACACACACACACACAACCTCCCACAGCCAGTAAATTATTCTCCTCACTGCTCTCCCTTTGTTCCAAACATTGCTCCTGACAATCTCACCTCAAACACTCCTCTCTCTCTCACTCTTCCTCCCTTCTTTCCTCTTCTCTGTGTTTCTGTCCTACTTCTCGTCTGCACTCTTTTTGAAGAATTATATTTGAAGCAATAGTGAGCATCCAAGCTGTGTGGGTTGCAGGCTGAGTAGGTGTTACTAGATGAAAACCCATTAACCAATCCCCTTGTTGCATTCGTCACCAGGCAAAAAGGAGAAAAAACAACATTTAGAAAACATTCTGTTTTTTTGCCAAAGCGATTTCTGCTGGGTTTGAGGATTCATGTTCACAGGAGGAAGCTGGAAACATGCAAACAGCCAATACCAGAGGAATACTGATGGGACAATTTTTTTTCTTTTTTTTTTATTCTTTCCTCTCTGTCAACATGGTGTCACAGTAGGAAATCAGGGACTACAGCACAAAAAACAAAAGACAAAATCCACAAAACCACACTGGAGATTTAAATACACTGTAAGAAGAGCGACGTCACTGTCGAATAGTGCATCATTTTAACTACTACTACTGTTTTCATTTCTTAAGTAAATTTTAAACAGACACCTGTCTGTGTCTGTGATCACTCAACAAACTTCCAAAATCAAAACGATTATATTTATAAGGTCAAATGAAGCCGAGCTGAAGTTCTAACTGGTCTGATTAGCTTTGAGCTAGTTCAAATGCTAACTCAACTTTCAACCTTCAGTGCTATGCTGCCTCTTCAGGTGCTCTGTTAAATCACAGTACAAACGTCTTGCTCTTGTCTCATCAATCCAAAAAGCTGCCTCTTCAGGTGCTCTGTTAAATTACAGTACAAATGTCTTGCTCTTGTCTCATCAATCCAAAACTCTGACATTGTTGAACTACATATATACAAACTACCAATGAGAGCAGAGAGACACTGACCTCAAGGAGCAACACACACAACACTGACTGACTGGTGTGCAGCTGGCTGTGGTGAAAAGCCATTACAGAGTGTCAGATCGCTGAATTGGCACGTTCCTGAGTACAACAGTGAGTACTGGAATGAGCTATCTGACTGGAGACCAATACTGGTATTGTTATCATGCATTACTAATATACATAGTATTTCTTATTCAGAAAAATGTTGTTTTCCCTAAATGGAAAAGGTTAACCCAATTTTAAAGATATACATGAAATAAAGACATTCAAAACTGAAGGAAAATCTCCACGTTTTTTCTGCTTGTTTTAGCCGAAAGCCACAAGGGTTCAATATAAGCTTCCACACCCTGCTAATCTGTCATTTACACTTCCATAGAACATGTCGAGAAGATCGTCATCCTTCTTTGACTGACAACCTGGATCCTGTGTGTATTAAATCAGAATTTATTAAGTAACGCCAGGACAGGATCAGTCCCTGAGCAAGCAGAGGCAATTTATTAAAGAGAACAACATGTCAGCCGTGTGCGGTGTGTGGTTTGTCACCGGACACCTTCTGGACCCACGATACGGGACATGAGGAGAGTGGCGTTTCAGACAGCGCTGACCTCATACCAGATTCAGCGAGGTCTGTCAGGATGGAGTTTGTAAGGACAGAGGAGTTTTCTCCTGGGTCAGTGGGCACAGAGAGAAGGAGGGAATCATTGCATTTCCTTTTCCAGAATTGATGGGCTGGGATACAATTACTGTATGTCTCCAAAGTGGGTCAGAAAAAGGCTGTGAGTTGGAAGAGTTATTATTCTGTCCAGTCTACCAGGTGGATTCAATCTGGATAATTATCAGGTCAAAGAGGCCCTTTGTATTTCACCCTCTCTCAGTCGATCTCACCTCTGACCCCTGAGGTGGCAGCAGTCACCGGCTTTCAGCCCACTATTCAACCATCACATTTCTGACAGGCTTTCATATCAACGATGGATGGAGTGTGTGCCGAGAGGCAGCCAAACCAGACACCAAACGTTCAGCAAAGAGGCCCCTGGGGAGGAAGGAGTCAATGCCACGGGGGCCTTGACCAGTCTGTAGGGACATTTTACAACCTGCTGCCTGTCTCAGACGACACAGCAGCAGCAGCAGCAGCAGCAGCAGCAGCAGCATCCACCGGTAGACTGCGCATTCCTAACTGAACCTGAACCTTCACACACACACACACACTGACACGGCTTATATATGACTTAAAGAAATTCCACTCCTGCTGTCAATCTCTGCCAGTCAACATAGATAATGACCTGAATTCTCTACTTCAAACTGTAAAAGTGCCAAATGTGCTGCGTTCATATTTTTTCAATATTTCATTGTTATCTTATCACCTAGTGTCAGGGGAGAAGACACATTCAGGAGGGATCCTTGAAGGTCCTTGAAGTGACTTTAAGAGCCTGAAACCAACACTGCAAACTCAGCTCAAGTAAAAAAAAGCTGAGTTAAAAGGGTTTTTTCACGTTAATACTAATTGTGGATTGTTACAGGTTGGAGCTTCTTTTCCTGTTGGAAAAGACAAAGACCTCCTGGTTAAGATGTTTTGACAGAATCATTGTTTTAAACCAGTGTTTTTCAACCTTGGGGTTGCGGTGCCGGGGTTACTCATACCCAATTCAAATTGGGTCGCCTGAAATGTCAAGTAATTGATAAAAATCAGCCAAAAAATGCATGGGAACCATTCTGTAAAACTCTAGCCATACATTTCCAATAAGCAGAAATGTCTCCTGAAACCCTGACTAACATTAAGTCTAAATGGCGAAAGGACCAAAAGTAAGAAATGTTTGCAGGGAAACCAAGGAAATATACCAGGGGTTTTCAGTCAGCTTCACAGAGAACATAATGTTCAACTGGCCTCATTTTTCATCTTTACAATATAAGACCTTTATTCAGACAGCTGGCTTGGTCTAGATTGATTTGGTCCTACATTAATATGCAACAGCAGAGCTTGGTGACCGAAAATCCATAGACTTTGTGACAAAAAAAAAAAAGACAGCGAGGGACTAGCAGCTCGTGGGGAATATCCCTAAGATGGGACTGTTTGCTCGTCTTCCGTCCCAATCCAAGCTGTCCTGTGCTGACAGGTTGACACCATCATTTACTCATCAGTTCAAGGTCATTTCACAGATTGATGGGTAAGGCCATGGGGCAGGGGAGTGGCTGACAGTGGGGCCTTGGACCTATTGTTCAGCTGCTGAGGCTGTGTTTACTCTCTGTTGTCTCTGCGTCCCACACCCCATCAAAAGCCAGCGTGGCCATTCAGTATCCAGAGAGAGCGAAGGAAGGAGAGGGAGAAAAATATGGGGACAAAAAGAGAACAGGAGATCGAGGAGGGTAAAGGGGTGGGGGGCAGCGAGCTGTCTCTGGTCTGAGAGGAGGGAAGGGCCCAGGGATATGACTGATTACAGGCAAGGTCAAAGTTCAAGGCCAATGCCCAGGCCCCAGCTTTCTGTAATGCCGGCAGGAAGGGGGATATGGGGCACAAAGAGGGGCTGAAAAGAAGAAAGGAAGGTCTTAGTGAAAGACAGCGGGGAGAAAAAGGGAAAAGAAGAAAAGAAAGGGGGAAAAATAAGAGGCTTTGAAAGGATGCTTCAACAAAATGTCCAGGTTTATGTGGTAGCTCTTTCCTTCAGATGTTGGCCATTCATTATTTCTCTCACACATACTCGAAATGTGTTCAGTACACAGACGTATAAACACAGGATTACTCCGTAACTTCATGCTTATTACACTGTGTGTTACGCAGCCGCAGTCTGGACGTCGTGGACGATCACATGTTCCTGCTGTAAGGAGAGTGAGGAGGTGATTCCCTGATTAATACAGCAGTGTGCAGTAATGAGTAACAGTCTGGTCAGCAAAGGCCCACAGTCAATGGGATCAAAATAATGCACACTGTTTGCACATTGTTGTTGTTCCTCATTTATAACCAATTTATTTGCTTTATTTTTTTTTTTCTAGGACCGGCAATTTACTGAAGATCAAATACTGGTCCTAAATAGACAGAACTCATCTTAGAGAATATCAAAGAGTGTTAGGTGAAGATGTAAATTGCACATCTTTTAAGTTTTATACATTTAACAGTAATTCTTAGTGTTAATATGGTTCAGGGTAGACTGGGAAACGTACTAGAATAAACTAGAGGAGCCGCTCAACTCATTCGGTGTAAATTAACATGGATGTTTTGTGTGCGTGCGTGTGCTGTATGCGAGGTTTCTGTCTTCAGCCATCTCTCACGATGCTGACCTTCAACAGCAAATCAGACAAGGGGAAGGAACCGGGAATCGATTGTACATTTCATTCACACACACACGCATGCACACACATTAATCAAAAGCAACTGAGCCTGTATGTTCACAAACGGCCCAGCGGTGCACACGTAGCATTCTCTATGTACATAAAGTATTCGCAGGAAGTGCAGGGATGAACTCCTTATTCTAGCACAGAATAGAAACACACGTGGTATTTATGCAGTACCATTACAGAGATGACATGACATCATATCCTGTCATTTGTTTCTTTACATTCAGTGTGTCGTCACCTGCTACTGCCTGGATCATAGAGCCAATCCCAAATACTCACACAACCATTTACACCAACATTCACACCTATGGTCAGTACATACAGATATAAGGAATCACACTGTTGTCACACACACCCACACACACACATTCTAAAGGTGGACACCAAGCTGCTGCTGCTGCTGCTGCTGCTGCTGTGTGTTCCCCGGTTAACTAACTGAGTTTATGAGCTCATTAGCTAATGGTGAATCTGAAGCTAAGGGATACTTTCTTAACCAATCACAGCGAGGAGTTTGTGATGCATGAGATCCTCATTGTAGCAGGTCATACACTAATGGTGGTAAATGGATGACTCTCTCCCTCTCTCTGTCTGTTTCTCTCTCTCTCTCTCTCTCTCTCTCTCTCTCTCACTATCTCTCTCTTTTTTTTTGCTATTTTATAATTCCTGCAAACTCATTATTTCCCTTTGACTCTGCAGTCACTCTTTTCTTTCTTTTTCCAACATCTGACTGGGTTCTCTCATATTTGTGTCCTTCTTCCTCAGCTGCTCCATCTCTCCGGCTAATGCCGACTGGTGGGGGCAGTGCACTGTGCATTAGCGATGGTGATGCCTGTTGCCTTCACTCACTGCAGCAGTGAGTGCAAGTATTGATTCTCTGGTGCATATTTAATAAATTCACTTGAATTCTTTCAAAAAAAAAAACAAAACAAAAACGCAACATACAAGGATGGCTGAGTGCCAACATTGGCTGAGGAAATTGTTGGTGTGCAGTAATGCATAATAGAACATGCTAAAACACATTTACATGACCAGAGTGTGTAGTGGTAAACGGTCACACATGTAGTAATGAAGGCAGCAGACGGAAGGGTTTTAATGTTTTTTTCAAGGAATCCACTCAATGTATTTAAAATCCGTAAAACACGCTGCCTTCAAAACGCAGACATTTTTATAAGGTGAAAACCCTGCCCTGCATTTTCTTCTCTCATTCCTAGTCACTACAGTGATAAAAATTCCAGCATGGAGTCAACACGCCGCTCAAACACAGAGGTACAAACAGACAGGATCATGGTGCGGCCACGTGTTAGCAGCTGCATAGTTAGAAAGAACTGAAACATTTCATATATAAAAATTAATACATCTAAATAATGTCACCTTGACCATTAGTAGGTTATTCATTATTTTGTTTTTATATGACAAGATTTGTCCATGTTTACATCAGAGTTCTGTCTTTCCCATGTGACGCAACTGGATTTTTGTCGTAAAAACGCGTTAAAAATCATGTTTTTTTTTGGGCTTACATGTATCCAAAAGTAGCATATCTTTTTTCTTACCTGTTGTTGTTCCTCAGTCTGACGTGGCCTCCAGGTTCCAGGATCTGCCCGTTCTTTAACCAGGTGATCTGAGGCTCAGGCTCACCCTGTGCCTGGCAGGTGAAGATGGCAGTGGTGCCAACAGGACGTGCAACAGACTGAGGAAGTTGAACGAACTCTGCTGGAGCTGTAAAAAAAAAAAAAGAAAGAGACACTGTGAGATGGATTTGTTCCACGGCTAATTTATGTGCTATCAGAAGTAAAAACGAAAAGTGCGCGTGGAGCAACAATATAGAGAAGTAAAGTAGACATTAACACACAGACATAATATCGTCAGCATAGAGTATGATCACTAAGTGCACCGTATATGTCCAGGGTTTATGTAGGTGATTTTTTTTCCTTTCTATTTATGGTTCAGCTTCAGCAGAAAAATGGCATTCTGCACCAGCAATTAAAGCACAACATCATAGGCGTGGACTGACTTGGTGGTCTGACCTTCCTGGAGTCCAGACCTATCTTCCATTACGGTGTCTGTACACAATGATAATGAGGATCAGGCAGTGTTGACCACAGAGTACAGAAGGAATGGACAAACTTCCACTCCCAAAACTGCAAATATTGGACTAATCTTCATATAAATGAATGTGATTAAAGTAAAGGGGATTTGTAAGCAGCCCTGCACCACATACAGTATGTGCGGAGATGTCATACGGTAGTTCTTCATCATCACGCCTCCTCCTCTGCTACAGTTTAGGGCATTGTTTCCCAAAAACTGGGTCACAAAAGTTATTTTGGGGGGTCGTAGGAGTTTACGAATAGTGCCTATTGTCTTGGGTTGCAAAGAAAAAAATTTAGGGAAACAGTGGTTTAGAGTCACAGTCAGTCAGTCAGTGGAGTCTCTTTTTAGGCTGCTAAGGCAAATGACTATAATGAATAGGATTCAGGCAGTTCATGGAGAGTTGATAACCAAAGCACAGAACTCTGAAGCTATTGTTGGGCTAATTGTAGAGTCTCAGAATCATGATTAAAGAATGGGAAGCTGAAGGAGTTTCAATATAAAATGAAGTAATTTGGTGTTTGGTCATGTACTAAAATTAAACACTTAATTGCATATCAAAGTGGTTAATTAAGCTTTTCTGTTCAGGGCACTGCAGTATTGTAAAGTATGTGTTATATTTACACGTAAATACACAATGAACTTCAGTATCTGTGGTTGTCACAGTGAAACATGACACTTGAATTGTTGCTGAACAACAATGGAACTCACTGTCTCAGAGGAATTCATTAGATCACACACCTACAACACATGTACTTTTTCACCACTGTTTGGTTCGCCCCCTTTGTCTCAGTCCCTGTGGACAAATTGTGGTGTGACAAATTTTCATTTTACATTTTACTCTCTGACTTTTCAAAGGGTCCTACTGTTGTGTTTTATTAGGAAGCTGCTGACGGTTTTTCATTTTTCTCTCCCGCCCCTTTTCGCCTCTTTACCCCTTCTCTGAGCTCTATCTGGAAGAGTGAAGGTCAGAGGGGTATCGGGAAGATATTGATCTGCACTTGTAAAAGTGTGGGCAAGATCATCAGCCACATCCATCCATCTTCCTCTTGTTTTTCCTTTTTTGTCCAAACCAGTTCACGTCCTCCTCCTCCTCTCTTTGTTTCTTCTTCTTCTTTGTTTTTCCTCCCACAGGGGAATGAAAGCGAATGAAATTGATTCACTGTACAGGGCTCTGTGTGATGTTTCATAAGGAGTCTCATGTTGATTCCTCTCCGCTGGATTTCTACATCCCTGCCGCATTGTACTTACAAGTGCTCAGTTCCTCTGATATTTACAGAGGTCACAACTTTATTATTTACAGACGACCAAAACAGCACTTCAGTTCAATCATCTGCGTTGGCGTGACCACAGCGGCCTAACTTACATTCATTTAAATTAACAACACAGCCCTGTCCTGTCAGAAAGCAATCAATAATTTTAAAAGCCCTGACAAATAAAGTCCAAATTAGTGGACATTTAATTAAAACCTATGGCTTTTTCTCTGCTCAGATCCAGGTGCTGTAGGTGAAGGTCTTGTTCTAACACTGACAGGCTGATAAAATGAAATATTGATCAGGATCAATACGGCTATGAGCTGCAGCAATGTGTGGTCCAGCTGATCGATGTGTGTGTGTCAAGCAAATGCTGTACATTTCCTGTTTAGTGACAATTAATACTGAAGGCTAGCCCATCCATCTGTAATCATCGCACTGGTCCAAACTATTCCTTTCTCCAGGGACAGGGAAATACACGCACTTCCCATTGTACAATATGGTAAATTAGTTATTATTGCAACTTTTATTGATTTGTTTACTTTAATTTTTAACTAAAGACCTGTTTGTCAATGTTGAACAATCCCATGTCATTCATGTTATACTGAAATGATGAAAACATACTAGTGTTGTCAGTGCAGTGTAACTATGATTTTTTTATGGAGAACATTAGCTTCATGGTGTCAAAAAGAAATAAAACAGAACCACAAAAAAAAAAGTAGGCAGGGTTCACTCTTCTTGCATTACTAGATAGGAATCACTGAGGATATGGAGGCAAATAACAACAGGTCCAGTTCAAAATGTAACCATTTTTCTTTAGCATAAACAAAATATTGTATTTATATCTAAGGGGTCATAATTCTAGTTGGAATGCTCTGTGAGCAGCTGTGGAAACAGCAACTATCTACATCCAGTCGATACAGTTGGTTTGACTGGAGTTCTCTATCTATATGCCACTGTGTTCTTGGGCAAAAAAAAAAAAACATGTTCCTGTCAACGCAGCCATGTTCAGGAATTTGTGGTATTTGCAGTATGAGTATCTATGAGGGATATTCTACTCCATTCTTATCTCCTCTGGAAACCTTTTTGCTGCCCACGTCTTATCTAGTCTGGGTGAAATGGCCCTCAGTGGGAAAAACAATAAAAAAAAAGCATTTACTGGCAGCAAAACCCACCATTTTTACTGCTTTTCTAAAACCGTGTTGTAACTTTTTCGGCGTTGTTGTTTGAGGCAGCAGTGGAAAAACTGGACGGGAGCGCGTTAATAAATCAATTTGATCGTTGACATAATTTATCTCCACCACAGCTGTCACTGCTGATGCATGATGCTATTAAGTGCCTGGCTGCCATCACTGGAAGAGCACCTACACACACACACACACACACACACACACGTGTGCACAAGAACCATGTCAAGTCACTCTCATTAGATAAATGTGGCTTTAGTTGAAGGTAATGAGAAAAAGATCATTGTCATCTTAAATATGCCTGGATCTAATTACAGCCAGCGTTCAGTATCAAACATGAACTAAATATCTCACTTAAAAGTTCATTAGATGGACAGTCTTTGATAGATTGTATGTAATTCATGTAAAATATAATTAAAAAACAAATTCTGCAGTGTCATCATATGACCACTTGGACGATAAGGTGAATTTAATCAAGGCCCCCTGGAGAAGCTACAGCACAGCCACATCACTGACAACCGTACCTTATCCACCGACCACTGCTGGGAATAAAGTCTGTGTTGTGAGTTTCCCCCTAAAGTATTTTTCTTATCTTTGGCAAAAGGCACATTGCTTTTACTCACCTTGGACAACCAGATGTCCCTGAGCAGTCCTGCGAACACGAGTCCCTGGTTTGTTGGCAGCACACACATAAACCCCTGAGTGCTGCACACCGACGTCTGAGATCATCAGGTTTCCTGTGCCGAGCACCTGGATTCCCTCCACACCGATTGGACGACCGTCTAGTCAGAGAAGTGCAAATGAGAAAATAATAATTATATTTAAGCCAAGAAAATGTGTATATATATATATATATATATAAATAAATATTAGTTGTGTACAACTTTATAACTTTGTAATTAAGTATTTCTTTACACTACATTTTAACAAATGTAAACATATCTATCTACCTGTCTATCCATCCATACATACAGTATATATATATATACAGTATATATATATATATATATATATATATACACACACACAACACTGAAATGGCACCTGGGAATGAAATGCAATGTAACATGAATCATCCCCAACACGCCTCACCTAGGAATATTTCGCTGTTGGCTATTTGCGATTGCACAGATTTGAGTTACTGCGTGTAAAGAAGCAGGTTTGTGTGTGATAGGTTTGTGTGTCAACATTGGCTACAGTAAAAAGCAGCTCACTCCAGGGGCGAGAGCTCGATAGGAGTGCATGGGTTGGCCGTATTGCTTTGTGCCACATATTACAAGAAAATGTTTCTCAGGGCGAGATTTATGACATATGCTTATATAAAGAGTGTGCAAACGGACTGAAAAAATGTACAAAAAAATCTGCCGTTCAAGTTAACATACACGACAGCATCGGTGATGACACGAGGTTTCACAAATTATTATGTCACCTTGATAAATAAATAAAATAATATTTAAAATGTGTAGGTGACTATGCACCATAGCGAAGCTCAGGGTTTAATATACAGACAGGAAATATAAAACCACACATATTGTTTTTACTGCCTCAGGCTTAGAGACAGTTGTGTTTCTGCGCTTCCTTCCACAGGTCAAGGGTGAAGTCAATTGTAATTTTTTGTGCCAAAAAAGGATGAGAAGAAGACAGAGTCCTTGCTCGCACTGACTCTCTGCAGTGACAGACAATAACGCTGTTTGTAAAAATTAATCCTTTTGTGAATACATTTGAAGGATACTTCAAATATGCAAATCAAAAAAAAAAAACCCACAGCTGCACCGTGTCGTACCTCCTGAAGGGGAATCTCAGGAGTCACCCGCAGAGTCTGACAACGCCTCAAACTGACGTTCATTCCATTTGACTCTAAAACGGTTGAATCTTTCATTTGCCACGGGGAGAACATAACTGTAATTTCTAATCTCATATCTACTTGCGAAATCCATAGCAGCCTCCTCTCTGCTCTAGCTGTACGCACATGATAAGCTCACACTTCCCTCCACTCCTTATCTGCAGTCTCTAGCGTTTCAATGGCTTCAGTGTGTCTCTGTTATTAGGTATGGGGTCAGGGGGGCATTTCCATCTGCGGCCTGTATACTGCAGGCTCTGCACGGTGTTGGTTTGATGTGTTAAAAGGTCTGGCAGGAAGAGAGGAGAGATGAGCACACGTGTGAAGGAAAGAGCCTGGGATGTGGGGATAGGAACCATATGACTAATACTTGTAGAATCACATGTTAGAAACTGATCTGCAGATTGTATTAGACCATCAGCAGATCTTTTAACCTCTGTACCAATACAGAGTTTCAGCTAGAGATATCAACAATCCACATGTGATATTTCAGGATTTATAAATGTAAAAATAAACATTAGAAATCAGGATTAAATTCCTGTTTATTTGTATTTTATCGCTCTTTTTTGTTCAATTCTAACCTGATTATTTACCACTAAAATTTAAAGGCCAGTAACATTTAGGCTGCCTCGGTGAGCAGCCACCAGTCCAAACCACAATGTATTCATTTCTTCTTCCAGGTGCACATTCATTATCCACTGCAGAAGAACAGGGGACGCGGCCCGCTCTGTGGTTGTAAACAGTAATCAAAAATGGCTGAACACTTTTCATTTGAGTTGACTGCTTGCATCTGCATTGAGATCCAATGTAATCTGGTGGCGATGGAGAGGACAGTGTTCATAATCAACATGACAAATGACGGCTGTGACAGATGACTCTGTACTGCTTACCAAGTGCTTTTTTTCCACACTTGTCATTATAGTGTTTTATTGCTTTTCCTCCACTTTTCCATTATCACAAACAGACCCACTGGACTGAAAAGTAACAGACCATTGAGCTGTTGTCTCAACAAAGACAGCCTTGTTCTTTTTTTCCTGCCATTTTCCTTCAATGTTTTTTTTTTTAGCTCTTCCCCGTCGCTCTATCAGTATCTCTCTGTCAGCTTCTAATTAACTTAGCGTCAGTAAAGAAAGAGCAAGCGGTGATGCTGTGCAATGTTCGGCAGCAAACAAACTCTAACATTAGGGAGTGACTGATGCGAGACTATCACATTCATTATGCATCTCATTTCAGCCTCCCCTGCTGTAATCTAATACGTGCAAATCCCATCGTGTTAGCTTTTCATTCCAGGGATATTGTGTAAGGCTATACCCTGAATCTGATTAAGCCAACTGCTGGGGACGGTCAGCAATTTGCATTAGGAGCAGGAAATCAGATTGGATAATAGGTAAAGAAAACAGATAGCCGACTGAAGAATTGGTCATGGCAGACTTTGACTGATAGTCAAGAAAAAAAAACATGCAGATGACAGACAGGGAGAAACAAATGACACCTGTCCCTGCAGCCTACGGCCATTATTCAGATTTACAGAGCTTTGGGAAGAGTGTTTTACCTTCCGGGGGAGAAGTGTGAATTTATCAACACAGAGCAGATAAACATTATATTTAGCTGTAAACATGTAATCCTCCACTGTACCCAGTGTATTCTACATCACAGAACACTGACCGAATCATCACTCTTTTATGGAAAACGTGCAATACTTCCTAACGTTTTACACCGTGAGAGGATTTTAGCCCCTCCTGCTGGTGTGTTGATCCCCATACTCTGCATGAGTGTTGTTTTCATGATTGCCTGGAACTAATGGTTTGTTTGTTTATTTTATGTTTGTCCAAACCAAGTCCCTCTTGAGAACGAGCCCTCTCGTCTGAACGAGAGTACCAGTACAAATAAAGTAGACGCTTAAATAAACCATTAACATTTATCACTAATTAGTCACTATTAATTAATAAGTGTGCATCTGGATTTTCTTTTCTTGACATTGTTGTTCATGCACCAGTGATTCAGGTCCTTGGAGAACCGGTCTAGTTAGTATGAGTTGTCTAAACATATCAGTAAAAATGGCTCAATGACATTATGGTAAATAAGGTTAAAAAATTGTAAAAATTTAATGTTTTTGAGCACTATATTTTTTATCCTTGAGATCAACCAACAAATTAAAAATGTTGGATCCCTGATGTTATCAAATAGTCAAGAGTGAAACAGAAAAAAAATTGTTGGAACTCTCTGTGCAGGTGTTGTTCTTTATGGAACTGTGGGAAGGGGCTTTCAGCAATACATACAATTATAAAACAACATAGAAGGAGCAACCGGAATCTACACAACAGTTTTAGGCAGTTCTTTAATGGACTAAAAACAAAGTCTTTTCAGGATGACCTGAGATATCGCATTTTGATCATTTTTGGTCGTGTTTTCTAGAAAACGTCTTACCCAGTCTGCTCCAAGACACAATGGGTTGAGGGTATCCAGTTGCGATGCACTCCAAAATGGCAGTTTGGTGAACAGTGAGGGTGAGGTTTTCTGGACCAACCAGGATCATTGGCTCTTTGTACACGGATGACGGGGAGCCTAAAAGAGAAAAAGGGGAGCGGGTCAGAGCTTCAGACGGGAACAGGCATGATGGATGGCTTCCTTTAATTGGATTTCTCTGGAGCGCATTAGCTCGATATGCTGTATCTCTTGGATCGGCCGGACCAACAATGGGTTTGGAAATATGCTGGACAGATAAACGTGGGGAACAGAATGCTGCATTCAAGCGTGACAGAGAGAACAAAAGCCTAGTCCGCAACACACATTTAATCTAGTTGAGATAAGTCTGTTAACTTAACTCTGGTTAAGTTATTCAGCAGTGTGGACGAATGTGCAAACTGCTTTCAGATCAGACAAAAAAACCCAAAACCTAATATACACACAGGGTCCAGCTTTAAAATTAAACACAGCAAGTATAAGAACCTGAGACAGTGAGGAGGGCCTCTTTGCTGTGTTTCACTCCTGCACTGTTGTGAGCCACGCAGCAGAACGTTCCTCTGTCCTCCTCACGCACTCCCGTGATCTGCAGAACACCTGTAGGCAATAAAGTGTATCTGCAGGAAGAAGAATATAAAAGCAAAGGTGTAAAAATAGGTCCTCGAACAGATCTTAAATATCTTCTTCTGTTGACAGGAAGCTTCGTCAACCTTTCATCCTTGGTGTCCACTGGAAGGCGGTCTTTTTCCCAGCTGATAACAGGCTCTGGCAGACCGTGGATCTGGCACTGGAATCTGGCTACACCGTGCTCCTCGGCATGAACCGACTCCGGTTGAACATGGAAGTCTGCCATCGCTGTGGAGGGAGAGGGAGAGGTTATACAAAGCCAACAGACTGTTTCAGAGCAACACTGTATGAAGGGAAGTGGTCATTTCCAACAAGTGTTGTTTATAAGAAGAACAACAAGAAAAGGTGAATCACAGTGTGAAAAACTGGATAATGAGAAACCTCCATTGTTTGACAATGGTTTATCTTTTCCCATCTTCCAATAAAAACATGTTTTTGATATGCCTTTCAACTGAAATCCCAGATCAGGAATCTCCAATCTAAGGGTGTATATCCTTTAGTATATATGAGAGCTAAATCTTAGAGGTTTATGTTAAGATTGTGAGAGTAAAATTAAGCAGTAAACCTTAAGTTCTTAAGTTAGAATTTAGAGTTAAAAAGCTTTACAATAGGAAGGAACGTCATTTTCATGACATGTTGTAAATAATCTATATGACATATGCTCTGTTTTTAGCGGTATTCGACCGCCACATTTCCGTAGCCCTGTTCAAACCCAAATGAAAAAGCTAAAATTGTTTCAAGTTTAACATGTGAACGTTGTTTCTTCTCTTTTTCTTAGCGCTCAACAAGTCATGACTTCAACGACGACATGCACAGATCCTGAACAAAAAAGAACCTGCAGAATGTCAACAACGATGTGAGTCAGGTGGCCTTTTAATGGTTTTAATGACAACAACGGTCCAACCACCTACGTGGAAGTAGCAGTATCAGTGGCCTGACCGAGAGCCTTATTTAGCTTCACCTCACATATCTACTCCCTGCAGAACAAAAGCGGCATCGAAGGTGGAGCTAGTGACAAACTCGATTAGAGAGAGGCCCTCTGCCTCTGTGCTCCTCCAACCGTCCTCAGCGCAAGTGTACCCAATTAAATGTCAGCCATAATTAACTGGGACAAAGGCAGACTCAGCTGAACACATAGCATCAGAGGAGCCCTGGATCCCTTATTATTTCATAACCTTCTGATCCTGTAGCCTGCAACAATATCAATAGATGAACATGCTAAAAAAAAAAAAGACAAACCTCAGAGAAAACGTATTCTTTTCACTGATGATGCTGATGATATGAACCCATTATTAATTAGGGCCCGAGCATCACTGGCTGGAGCTCACAGGGTCAGGGTGCTACATACCAATGACAGATCCTTTTTGGAAACATTCTGCATCCTCTGCCCCCTTTAAGGCCTGTACATATTAAGGAGGTTTTAAAATAACCACCAAAACGGGATCAGTGAAATATGTGCAGCAGGTCAGTAATGAGGCCCAGTCTTTTTTTTTTCTCAAACTCATTGCTGTTCTTGCCATCCTAATTAGAGCGGTAGTATCTTGAGTCCCTGCCTCAAAAGACAAACAATGAACATGAACTATTCCATTAAAAATACTCATATGCTACACTGCTAACTTCACCTGGGAATTAACTCTGTATAGTTTTATGGAAACCTTTACTGGGCATAAAAACGCATGCACCAAATTAAGAGAATTAGAAAAAGGACTGTTGTACTTGACAAATTAAAATAATGAATCGAATCACCGTTTGTCATGCAGTCACCAAGAGGTAAGTGGATTAGATCACTACATATTTTCACTTGTGCAATGTTCAGAGCAGCCCAGAAAGGTCAAACGGCACCCGAGGCCCTAGAAATTACTTTTTGTCAAATTGACAAGAACTTTAAAGAAAAGAAAACTACAGAACGAGAACGAGAGGGAATATAACAGAGAGGTGCAGTTCTGTAAAGCAGCACTTGGCTACATTAGCGGTCTGACACTGTGATTGTACCATATCACCGTTTAATGAGAAGTGTAGCGTTCTCCCACACGACTTGACCCTGGGATGTTCGATCACAGCCCTGATGTTGGTTTAAACATATTCATTTCCCGTCCGTCGCTGTAGCACCTTCGATTTCCCCGCTTTCAGCAGAAAAGGCGACACATTCACCCTCACCAGTGTTTTGTCTGATCATTGAAGATCAGAAAAACAACTTAATACCAGGCTAGCAATTAGCTTTAAAGCCACCGGGCTTTGATAACTGCTGTCAATCTAACCGGGGTATATTAGCTCTGGAGCAAAGAGTTTTCATAGGTTTACATTTCACTCCTATTGCCAGTAGTATAATACTCCAGCTTTACTCTTGGTCTTGTTCAGCCACCGTGCGAAGCTTCAGTCAGATACTGGTGTCCAGCACCGAAGTCCCTGACACAGCTAATCTGAAAGGTTAGGAACGTTGGAGGTGCCACAACTCCTTCAGCGCATAAAAACAATCGCCTTCGGGTGATGAATGTGACCAGAGAAGGTCACAGTCTTGGAAGAGCTTCAAATTAAAACACACACATTCACACACACGTTATTGTTCAGTAACCGAAATGCAAAAGAGAACCAGTGTCTAAAGGAGGTTTCTTCTGCATCTTTGCCAAGTCGTCATTGTGTCCACTACACAGGCTGCTGTGGGTGCCCACCGACGTGGCCCCCCCGCCCCCCCTCACTAACGGAATCCACTCTTCATCCTCATGCATTAAACATTGACTCTGGGAGGCCCACACCCCTGTGACCAGACATATTCAATCAGAGCCACTTGGAAAAATACAATAACGGCTTTCCACAGGAAAATGAACAAAAACAGATGAACTATTACCACTGCTGTTGGATATGGACCTTATTTGTTATATGAACGGTGTACGGGCAACAAGTGGGTGGTTAAACCGTGCATGGTATTGATCAATGTGGCTGGAGAACAACGGACACACACTCTTGAGCACACACACGAGACGCCACACGAGGGGCATTCGCTGGTCTTCACCAACGCCAGGGCCGTTCCTCTGTTGTTTTCCGTTCTTCACGTCATAAGTGTCGACAGTCATTTACACACATCATTTACAGCAGCATCATACTGGGGGCTTCAATGAAGCAGGTCTAATTACTGCAATAAGAGAGAGAATAGTCGGCCTCTGGGCTAAAAACAAATCCACACCCACGCGCACAGCTCCTGAATCGGTACCCGTGTCCTTCCCCTGTGACCAGCACAAAAGAACAACGACCG